ACACTCTTCTGCTGTGATATTCTGCCTTACCTTGAGCCTTGAGGAATGTAGCTAGCCTTCTATGGATGGAGAATTCTGAAACTGTGAGCCCCTGAGTAAATTTTTCCTTCTCTAAAATTGTTCTTGTTGGGTCCTTTAGTCATAGCAGTGAAAAAGCTGACTAAAACAGCATATTAGGTTTCAATTCTGATGCTTTGTAGTTTTCTCATGTCCATTCCTAGAAAAACTTGTCAACCTTTATATTGAATTAATCTTGTGTTGTCATGATTCTGATGGTCAAAAGAAAACCACAGGTATTCTATAAAGCATAGCATTTCAAAATTTCATGTCAGTAGGAAACAAAACATGCAAAACAAAATGGTCACATAAGAACAGAAAGACTTACAGAAATGTTGAGAGACACTTATGAATGGAACATTTTGGGGGCGGGTATTGGAAATTGAACTCAGGGCCAATCAACCACTGAGCCACATCCCCGGCCATATTTTGTATTTTATTTAGAGGCGGAGTCTCAATGAGTTGCTAAGTGCCTCGCTTTTGCTGAGGCTGGCTTTGAATTTGTGATTCTCCAGCCTCAGCTGACTTGCTGGTATTACAGGCGTGAGCTACTGTGCCCCCCTAAATGAACCATTTTAAGAATAAAGATGAAGAAATAAAACAAAAAAAAATCTGATTATTTTTCTGCTATTTGAATAGCCAGAAGTTTCACTTGTAATCTAAATATAATTTAAAACTGTACCTTATTAATGACTTCACACAGGTGTGAAGCACTTAAAGCTAGCTGTGTACAAAGTCATCTTGTTGGGATTTGCTCTTAGGGATTGGTCTGTCTTAAATCTTCAGGGAGACAGAACAGCATCATGGGTAAATGTGCAGGCCTCAGCATCAGGATACAAAGGGTTATGCTACTGTCTCTGCCATTTATCAGTTGTTTTTAATTTAGGAAAGATAGTTGAGCTTCTCAGTTCTTATCAGTTTCTTCAACTATAAAATACATTACAGTACTTACCTGAGAGATTCTGAAAATCAAACAATTTATATGAAGTATGTAGGTGAATAGGTATTCTTGATCATAATAAACTCAGTAAATAGCTGTAGCTGCTGTTAGGATTATCTGACTTCAGGCATGAGGCATGAATTTAACTTAATATGTTGCCTCTTTCAGGAGCAACAATGGATTTTAATTGTTAAAGAAACATAAATCAAGGAGAAAAATTTTAATGGAGATGGCACAGATGGGATTTCTAGTACTCCTGCACTTTCCTCAGGGGGGTAAAGCTAATTTGTCCTGCAGTATCACTTTTTTTTTTTTCCCAAAAACATTGCTAGTGGCAAGAATAAATGTGGATAACATGTAGAAATGGTAAGTGGAACTTTCTTCTCTCTTGGCATTACTATCATGTGTTTTAAATCCCTGTTCATTGCATTTATTCTTCTACCTGCTCATGTATCTGTCTATATATTCATCCATCAACTCATCTATCCATACACCTATCCTCTACTGGGTGCGAGGCATTGGAGAGATGATGTAGGTTAGGTATACTTCCTGTTACTAGGGACTGCAATGAGGGATAGGGTGGGGGTTCAAGGAGGGTGATGACAATTGCAGTATCAGACATTTAAAGACAATATTATTTTGAAAATAACTTGGTATAATCATTGTGATATGTACAGGATTTTGTGGAAATAGGGCACCAAGGACTTCCCACAAAAGTTTCTTTACATTGGATTTTAATGTTCACCACCTCAGTATGAAGAACATTCTCTTTGGTAATTTGTTTTTACCAACATACAAAGGAAATGTAAATGTTCCACAAATTAAAAGTCCTCCATTGCTGATGGGAATGCATAGAGCCATTTAGCTTTTCCCTGGAAGTCTGACCTCCTTAGTCATCTTTAAAGCCTAATGTGTTTGTACTTCACTGCTGACATTCCACAGTGGACTAATATCTAACCGTGGCTTGAGGGCTGCTACATGTTTAATGTGAGACAGGGTCTGGAAAAGCTAAGGCTCAATTGACTTGGTGAAGTATAACTTGGGAGTCTCATTTCTTTCCACCCCTCTTCACAATAGGGACAGGAGAAACAACTGCATTTTCATTTATTAGGAAATGGGTTAGTCAGTGAGACTTTTATTAATCCACCCCCTGCAAAAGATACAGACTGGCAGTCATGATCTTATCCTCTTTTTTAAGCTGCTGCCTTGGAAGTTATTTGTGTCATAAATTACCCCAAGAAAAAAATTTTTTTTGTTAGAACCATTTTGAATGAAAATCATTATTGCCATTGTTGTTACTGATATTATTATTATCCAGACTTTAACATGATCAGAAGAGGAAAGAGATCCTGTGATACTAACAACACCCTGCTCAGTTATAGCTAATCTCCAAGTCTTTATGTACACACTGATTTGGACATAGTTATTAAAGGAAGGATTATTATAGAAATCTCATTCTAGCCCCATCATATCTTAATAGCAGTTCTCTGGGTTTTATTTTTAAGACAATATCAAATTTCCAGAACTTTAAAGCCCAAATTCTTTATGTGTATATGAAATCCAGCTACATTTCATTATAGTTGAAAAAAATTAACCCAGCAGACCAACAGCCTGGATTTCAGTTTGCAATATACAATATTTGTTTTTTCATCTTAAATACTTCAGAAGTTGATTTAGGGTATGCTGCGTACCACCCATGATTTATTTCTCTTGTGATATAAAATAAATAATAAATAAAATAAGGAATTAAATAAGTTTGGGTTTCTGAATTCCAGGAGGTAGATAAATGTTCTTTTATAATTTGAAAAGTTGAAAGAATGAGAATTAAAAAATTGGCAAGGATTGTGTGCCAATACAGATGTACCAAGCAATGAATTCACATCCTAAAATTCAGTCTTTATGTACATTAGAACTGAAGTATGACTTAGTGAATTCTTTAGTTCCTACCTTTTGATTCTGGTTGAATTTTGAACACAGAAAGGGTTCTAGTATATGATACTCAACATCTGTTGTTTTTTCTGCACCTCAGGATGCTACCCATCCCATTTCCCATTCTTATAACTGTGTTGGGCTAAGCAAGATCTGAATAGCACAACCTGCTAAACTTGGGGCCCAGAAAGGCTGAGACACACAGGCAGGAACAGACTTTTTACATCATGTGGCTCTTATTCAACACAGGCAAATCCCTTCTGATCTTTTCATTAGGAGGAAGACAGATCTAGGGACTGGGAGAAAGAAGGACGATATAGCTCATTAGTTTATTCCTTTATTCACTCACTTAACCTATAATCATTTATTGAGTGCTTGTTTTGTGACATCAAGAAGCACCAAGGTTGATTCTGGAAATTTGAAGATGAATAAGTTACTATTCCTGCTTTCAAGGTGCTGCAGTCTAGCAGGGTTTCTAGCTGTTTGTGGCTGGAGATGGAATTCAGGGCCTCGTGCATGCGTGCCCTACCAACTGAGTTACACCACTATCCCTTAGAACATAGTATAGGTTTTGGTGCTGTCTGCAATTTCAGGCATCCACTAGGTGGTCTTCAAAAATATTCCTCCCAGATAAGGGGGAACTATTGTCTTGCTGAAATTATGGTTTCAGAAACCTTGTGCTATTGGTGGAATCTACACTGGACACAGGAGGAAATTGCTAGGGAAGGATGCATGTAAGGAAAGGAAATCCTCAGGCTGATTTATTGTTTAACACTGTGTACACAGTGTGCTATGCTTGCCTCAGTCAGATGAAAAAGGACATAGTCCCTGTCCTTAACAAGTCATATATTTTAAAAATAACATTTTGACCTGCTTATAAAGTCAATATGATTTAAAATCAAAATTCAAGCTACGGATATCTAATAAAACTAAAAAATGACCTAAGATCTCACCAAACTGGATTTCATATTTTATTACAAATTTCAGAAGAATATATCTTAAAAGAGCAAAGATTCACCAAGGACCTCATTTACACGAAGAGAAAGAGTTCAATGTAACAACTCTTGCTAAAAATAATTTATACACATTTTAGTTTTGAGGGGCGCTGGGAGTAAAACAGGCAGGGTTAGTCCCTAAAAGATTTAAGAAGAGCGAGTGCACTGCTTCCGCCCGTGCAAGAGTTCTAGGGGGCATGTTTCAACTTTTACAAAGGTTCCCAAAACTTATCCCTACAGGAGCCGCCCAAGCCTGGTGCGCTTTGCTCCCAAACCTGGTCGCAAATCACTGACGCATGCGCAGTTTAGTCTCCGTGTCACCGGCCTATTTTTCTCCGGCAGGTTTTTTTTTGTGCGGTCAGCAAAAGGGCCAGAACTGCTACAGTGACAGTTCCGAGCCTGAGAGAGTAGAGAGAAACCAGCACTAAGTGAAAAACACTTCGTGTTGAGATAGGCTCCCGGTGGAGTCGTTTTTGCAGAGGTCTTCACACACATACTTTTAAAATGCCAAAAGATCTTTAGAAGAAACTAACTTGGAGGAACAGTCTGAGGAATTCTCTGTAGAAGGGACAGGACAGGAAGGGGCGAGGGGGCGCCGATCTCAAACTTTCGGCGCCGATGCTTTGTGCTTGCTTCATTTCTCTGGGGAGCCCGGCTGCCCCAATTAATCTGACGTTCCTCTGAGACCCCCTCCCCCCCTTTAAAAAATTGCATCCATTGTTTAGGATGTCCCAGGAGGAACCCCATCGTATTTCAGGGTTTAACCACATTCTCCAGAAAGCTACTCCAGTAGAAAATCCCTGGATGCCTGGGGTTGTGTAAACTCCGCGAATCGGAGGGTTCGCGGGTGGGCGGGGGCTCTGGGATCCCCTTTGTAGCAACCACCCCCTACTCCGCCTGCCCCTCCCCTACGCCCCGCCCTCGGCTACCGACCCCAAGCCAGGGCGGCTCGAGCGCTCCCACCCGCGCCTCTGGGGACTCGCAGACCGCAGCAGGACCGGCCCGGCGCGCTGGGCATGCTCAGTCGCGGGGCGCCGGGCTCGCGAGTCGGAAGCCTGTGCTCGGTCGCCGCCGCCGAGCCGGCCGGGGCGCAAGAAGAGCGCGCGGGACTCGCTGCAGCAGCGGCCCAGCAGCGGCTGACCGGGTCCCAAACCAGAGTCGAGCTCTGCGTGGCGCCCCTGATCCGCTGGCCGTGGCGCCCGAATCCTAGAACCTGCCCAGGGAAGGGACTGACGGTGGCTGGCGTCGGCGGGGCGCGGAGGAACCGCGGTAGCTGCGGCCGCATCCTCGCTGCCTGCCCCAGCCGGGTTGAATCCCGGAGCCGTCGGACATGGAGCCATGGAAGCAGTGCGCTCAGTGGCTCATCCACTGCAAGGTGCTTCCTGCCAACCACCGGGTGACCTGGGACTCAGCGCAAGTGTTTGACCTGGCGCAGACCCTCCGCGATGGAGTCCTGCTTTGCCAGCTGCTCAACAACCTCCGGGCGCACTCCATCAACCTGAAGGAGATCAACCTGAGGCCGCAGATGTCCCAGGTAAGCAGGCCGGTTGGGCGCCCCCGCCTCCTGCCGGTATCTCCCATTAATCATCTGGCTAATTTCTTTGTGTAAATGCAAACATCTAGGTGCGCTCAGCTTGCCCTGCCTCCCAGCCTTCTGCTTTGGGGACCACTTCAGCTTTTCCTACCTTGGCTTAAAATGGTTTAGCTCTTCAGCTGCATGCTCAAGCTTTGCGTCCAGAGATGGTGCAAGGATTTCGTAAAGGCTTTCTGTGAGGCGGGAAGAAAGAAGTTGTCTTAGGGTGCCCTTCACCTATTGTGCATGTGTGTGTTTGTGTAGGGCAACAAAGAGAATTTGATCCAGCTCTTCTGTAATAACGATGGGAAGGGATGAAACGCGGTGATGGGGTAAATTTGCTTTTAGTTTGTTCTTCTGCTTTGCGTTTTGTTCCCATGCTCTTTTGAAAGAGGAACCATGACATACATGAGGACTCTAGGAAGTGGAGGGCGTTTGGTACCGTTATCTGAACAGGAATGACACTGGTCCAAGGAAGGAAAAGGAGCAGGACGCAGAGGCAGTACCCGAAGGCCCCCTGAGCTGGTGGCCAGCTGGCAAGCTGGATGGTTGTGTTTACAGCTCTGCTGAAGCCATGTGAGAAGGAGTCCAGCCTCACTCAGCAGCGACAGGAAATGAAAAGTTTCACTAAAGATTCCGCTTTCTTTCATTCGGTCCTGTGCTCAGGTGATGTGGTATACATCGGACTCCCATGGCCGAGGCTTGCCTGGAGATGTCTCTTTCAGGGTTTTAAGGAAAATGTAGCCCTGGAAGGCTATGTGCTTTTTACAGGCAGCTCAAAAGTCAGAATGCAGCCGAATAGTGGTTTCTTGGTCCTGTAGGAAAGTTTCTGTTCAGAAAGATGATAACACCACTCATAATCTTTGTTTTCAGTTTCTTGCTGTAAAAACCCAGTTTCAACTTAGAAGAGTTTCTTTTATGACACATTAGTCCCATAGCAACCCAAGTAGTGCCTTTTTAAGAAGGAACATAATTATTAAATCATATAAAGTTTATACGATTTATTAATTATGTATTTAGAGTGCATACACACCTCTGGTTCTCAGTGTCATTGTTTTATGAGGGTCCCTGTACTCTTCACATTCTACACCCCTTGCCCATCTGCTTTTAGCCTTGAGCAGTCTCCAAGAAAGAACAGGCAGGTAAGAGGTGGGAGCCCTATGTATTTAAATATAAGGTAAACTGTTTTAAACCCATACACAAACCTGCATAGTGATTTCTAACATTGTAGACCCTTTAACAACTGTCCCAATTCTGGATATCCTTTTGAGGAGTTTAGCAGAAATTTGTATTTTGCAGGAAGCTGCAGTCAGTTGGTTAGCTAGTCCCATAGATCCCTATTTTTCACCTCCCCTGTAGCCTCAGGAAGCAGCATGGGTCAGGATGCTTTGGCCCACCAGCACATAGTATGGTACTGTGCACATTTCCTGAAACTTCAGTTTCCTGAAACTTTCAGAGGTTGTACATTAAATTGTTTTCAATAATCAAGTTTTCTAGACGGTTGAAGATTACCCTTTTAAAACTTTATTTGACTGTTAACAATGGATGAAAATTTTTTTCAAATGTGTTTTGCTCTTTGCCTTTTAGAATGTATTAGATGTAATTTAATCTTTTTAATGACTAAGGATTGTCATTATAAGCATAATTAATGAAAATTGAGCACATACAATTCTCTAAGAGGTCTATTCCCTACTGAGGGTACCACAATGAGCATAGCAGGTACTTGACCTAAAGGGATTATTACATTCCTATCAGACAAACCACCAGGTTATAAAGAGGTAAGTGGGACAACTAAATGTCTTCCTTAGGCTGTTTGCTTTGAGTTCATAAGATTGCCTAACCCTGAGCTTTTGGGTTCCAAATCAAGTCCAGTTCTCAAACCTGAATCTAGTAAGACTAGTATCTGAATACAGTGGTGCCTGTTTTTGCTTCCTTGTTGATTCTTTACCACATTGTAGAGAGATAAGGTTCTGAATGGCCGAGAAGCAAGACAGATGAATTTGAATTACATAGGTCATCATTAAATCCTTATATGAGACTTATTAAATGGCTTCATGAAACACGTTGACATATTTAATATGCCTTAGTGCTCAGACATAACTGTGTACCTAATGTTCACTTTTAGGAGTAATAGGTTCCAATTACAATTTTAAAAGAATCACAAAGGTTTATAGTTCCTTTGGACTGACATCTATAAATATTCCTGCCTCATACATTTTTCTTGGGAAAAGTTCTGAGGTTCCCACTACATCAGCTGTGTGCATTGTGTATGATGAATAATCTGTTAACCTAGTACATTCCAGACATTCAAGCCAACAGTTTCTTCTTTGGAATTTAGAGGTCATTACCACTACTTATCTCTTCACTATGTTAGAGTCAATCTGAGTTAGTCTACCTGAGCTAGGTTCTATTGAAGATATTAATTTTATATAGACTATTTTCTTAAGCATATGATTTTCTAAGACAGGAAATAACTGGAAGCTCTTACTTTAGAGTTTTATGACATTTTGAAACTGCTATGAGCAGATGCTGACAAAGGAAACTTTAATTTATTGATGTTTTACTTATTGCCTGTTTTTAGTTTTTCACAAAGAGGCTATAAAGTGACTAGTTTCCTTTAATAATAAAGGTGTTTATTCCAGTGAGTGGGATTTTTTTTTCATTTTTTCAACATTCTGCCTTGTTTGCATTTAAAAAATAAATTGCCATGAAAACAATGATTGCTCAGTTATAAGTGATTCTTGAAGTCTTTGTAAGTACAGTCTTCTTCAAAACAGAAGCATAACGGGGATCCCACTCTCTTGCTGTTCTTCCTGGCTGTGGACAGCAGTTCTTCTTGGTCTTGCCATCATGGTTAGACAGTGATCTTCTCTGGTTCAGAAACAAGTATTTTTAAATATTGATTTAGTTTTTGTTTTTATTTATAATGGATAAAAGAGATACATATCACTTTTAGTTTCACTTTAATATATTTCTTTTATTATAAAGATTAAAATTAAGTAAAATCCAACTGGACATTGAAAATTCAATATATATATATATATATATATATATA